TTCTCTACGATAAAGAATCAAATGAAGTCTATGGAGGAGCGAATTGGGCAAATGGCCGCAATGGTTGAGAGTCAATGCAAAGTTGAGGATGCCCGAGAGGCAAGTGATGACGTTTTGACTGAGGTAGAGAAGGCACATGAGCAAGAGGAAAATAGACCAAAGGTCGAGATGGTTGTGGCTGATTCAGACGAGAAGATGGAGAGCCCGGTTGAGGCTCATGAGGTGGTTACACTCAAGGATGAGAGTAGTGCAGTACTCCAAATAGACTATCCCGTTAAGTGCGAAGATCCCGGCGGATTTTATATCGATTGTGCAGTTGGAGAAATATATACCGGGAAAGGGCTATGCGACTTAGGAGCGGGTGTCAACTTGATGCCACTCTCTGTTTTCGAGAAGTTGAGACTGGAGAAGCTTCAACCGACTATGATCACTCTTCAGATGACGGATAAATCACAAGTTCGTCCCATGGGAGTTGTAGAGGATGTTTTGTTGACGGTCGATGGAATTGAGTTTTCGACAGATTTTGTGGTGATAGATATGAAGGATAACGGTGAAACACCGTTGATTTTAGGAAGGCCATTCCTAGCCACCGGACGAGTATTTATTGACATGGAGCTTGGTGAGATCACTTTTCGAGCCTATGATGAATGCCGGACTTTTACATTAGGCCGGGGTTGGAAAATTCAAGAGCCAAAAGATGGTAGCCGACGCCATGAGAAGATCAAGGAGGAGATTGGAATGAACGGGAATGATCCTTATTGAGAACTCGGAAGATGTCTAGATAAAGACGTTAAATTAAGCACTTGTTGGGAGGCAACCCATCGTTTATCGTTTTTATTTTTATTTTTTATTTTTATTATCGTTTTTTATTTAAAAAAAATCTGGAAAAAAAAAGTGAGAAAAAAATTAAAATAAAAAATTGGTGGTGATCGAGTGTTCGAGCGAAGCATGGAGCAGATGATCGTGCTCAAGGGTGCAAGGATTGCTTACGGTGGAGCTCGCTCGACTTATCGGTTAGTTACTTGGGATATACCATTTATTTTTCTTAAACTTGATTCTTTTCCAAAGAATAAGTTTGGGGGAGATAGGTGTCATATATCTTGAGTTTTTATCGCTTTATTTCATATCATATAGTTGCTTGTATTAGTTTTATTTTTATGATTTTTTTTTAGGTCATTTTTATTGTTTTTAGGATGCACGTTTACTTGCTTTATTAGATTAGTAATAATTTGGTTGAGTCGAGTATTTTTGCTTTGTCTTGTGTGTGTTTCGGATGATTGGTGGATAGACAAGAATTGATTAGAGTTGCTTATCTTAATTAAGATATTGTGAAGGTGATCATGAATTATATGCCTTGATGAATAATTTATATGCTTTGAATTAATGATTTATTTGCCTTGGGAGGATTTGAGCCTTATTTTATTTCTTGTGTGATTAGTCGAATACTTGGGATGCTAGAACTTGCATTGGTGCTAACTTGAAAAATATGATTATGTACGTGAAGCTTTGAAAGTGATTTAGGCGATTTTTGTTATCGAGCCCGTTTTATCCTCTTTTATTTTTCCTAAAATTTTATCCCTAGTAGCCCGTTTGAGCCTTGAGCCTTTTCTTGATAACCCCTGGGTGATTGCTTATTACTTGGAGATGTTGGGGTTGAATGGAGCTTAATATGATAATGAGCTATGGTGATTTTTTGTTTTTGGAATATTGAGTATGGGATGTGTTTGATTTATTTTTGTGATTTGAGGCATTTGATTAAAAAAAAAAAGAGAGAAATAAAGAGAGCTCGCAAGGTGAATTGTGGGGATTCTGCTCCTCTTACTCGTCGATTTGATTTGTCGAGTCATGAGTAATGAGCAATGGGAAACCATTCTAGGACACTTGGATGATCTCCAATGGCTACACCTAGAAAATGTTGTCTCTACAATTTATTCTTGTTTGGAAAAAAAAAAATGGTCTCTCAAATAATAAAAAAAAAAAGAAGAAGAAAAAAAAAAGATGGAAAAAAATGATCAATTGCCAAGATGTGCATATATGGTATTGTGCTTTATCGAGTTGTGTACGTATGTTGTTCTTGGGAGGTAATTGGAGATGAGGGATGGTGATTTTTCATCGATGTCTTGTTCGATTTTTTTTAGTCACTTGACCTATATTTTCCTACCTTGTCCAAAGAGCCTACATTACAACCCAAAAGTCCTTTTGATTCATAGCTCACGTACGTTAATTGTATTTAGTAATGTATAGACGATTTGCAAGCTTATGGTTGACTTGGTATTTCGAACTAACTTGAGCGTACCCTTCTATTTATTTGATGATATTTCAAAAGATATTTGAGTGAGGCACATATATATTTGACCTTATTTGAGAGTTCATTAATTCAAAGTTTTTATCAAGTTAAGAGTTGGGGCATATGTATCTGCGATTACTTGAATTTATCTTGATTATTTAAGTGACTTGAGGCTTTTCTTGTTTGAAATCACTTTTCATGCACGTGGTTTGTTTTTGCTTATTTATTGTTCGGGGACGAACAATGGTTAAGTTTGGGGGATTT